ATAGTTGTGGCCCCAAAAGATAATTCAATGTAAGGCTAAGCCCTCACCTAACGCTGAGTAGTGCTTCAATAAACCCTTTTCACAGATTTATACAATGACTATGTTTGCTTTTGCAGTGCAATGCAATTGCAATTCTGCAAGGAATTCTTTAAACCAGGTTCTGATGATGGATTTATAAAGCAAATAACTAGGAGAAAAGAAAACAACAGTCCCAGTTCTGCAGGCAAAAAAATTCAGAAACAGCACATTATTGTGTGGGAGGAATGCAAGTATGTACCACTGTCAGCTCAGATGAACATTTTGTACTAGGTTCTTCTCTAAAATTCCAATTTTTGGAAGACTTGTCTTCTAAAACATTGTCTTTTGAGAAGAGAGAAGTAACAGTAACCAAAAAAGAGAAGAATGGTATACAAAGTAAAATCTGAAAAAAGCCTCTTTCTTCAAATAGAGGCAAAATTACAAAGTATAAAAGAGTACTAATTCTGGGAAGAGTTCTACTAGCTGCCACTGCAAGCCTTCAAAAATCTATTTTTTAAAAAAGAATATGCAAAGAAAAAAACTGCATAGCAGATGCCAAATAAACATCTATAGTATCAGAGAGCGCCAGATGCAAATAGTAGAGGAATAGAAGCAGACAATTTTGCTCAAATGCAATCTATCTGGTTCTAAATTAATTTTCATTTGGCCATGAATCTCTGGTCATGCAAGTTTTTCACACTTGCTTGCCCAAGTTTCGGTGAAGTCAGGTATTCACAGTAATTCAAGAGGTTAAAAAAAAAAAAATCTATGAGAAAAAAAGATCAATGAGGATGGCAGCATTTGCCCTCAAAAAGTTACTTTTTTCCCTTGGAGAACAGAAACAGAATTTTCCCAAGTTGACTAGCAACATATTATTCTAAGATCCAATAGAACATACCAGGCAATTTAACAAACAGATCAGTATTTCTCCCCAAAATGTGTTTTTTAAGTGGTATATTATAATAAGAAAACAGTATCCTAGAGCAGTCACTGTAAAAAAATCATTAGCTGTCTTGCGACAATTCTTAATGACACTTCAAAATTTTGGCATCAAAATCTGGATAGAATGTATTTTGTGCTCCAGTCTTCTGCACCACTGCTCCATGCCAGGAAATCATCTTTGTGATAAACACTGAAAAAGGGATACTTCTTCAGCTAAGGCACAGTCATGTGATCATTGACGACCTGGTTTTGCAATTAAATTAGTCCAGTTCAGTTATGTGCCTTTAGAGAGTTTGGTATGTTCTCAATATTCAATTTCAGGACACTTAAAAACACCAACAGAAGTACACCAATTAAAGCAAAATGGTTTTGCCATTATTTAATTTCCTTTTCCAAAATAAGGGAAATAATGACTAATTGTGCAGACAGACCTATAACCAATGTTACCTTCTGTGGACTAACATCATTATTCAGTTTACTTTCTTACCTTCTCTTTGCAGAAATGTAAATCTACCTCTTATAACTGCACATCCCTGAACAATTGTTTAACTAAAACACAAGCAGATAAATTTACAGTCATCTGCCGTATGGATTATTCTAACTCATCTTCACAAGGGAATGCCCAATGTACAGAGGATACACTACCAAATTTAATGATCAGATATTATCACTTTAATTGGACAATTATGAGGGTCTTTTAAAGTTACATGCACAGCTAAGGACCAAGTCACTCAAGCGAGATGACAGTTCATACAGCGCTAAACAAGAATCATGTTGTAGTCATTCCCCTGTGTTCTGGACCACCTTTAAATTGCTCTGAGAATGTGTGCAAATCTCTCCCTACTTCATCTACAAAAATCCACAGTGGACTAACCACCTTTTTATCATTTTTCCTTTAATGAAACTTCCTTTGAAATCTTTTAAAATTACATAGCAATTTTCTTTCCAGAATGAAATGTTCACTCAACCAGCTAATAAAAAACAAACAACAATTCAACAGTGAAAAGCAACTGACAGTTATAACTAAATTTGCAACTCTGATCAAGAGATTTTCAGATGGGAAAACAATAATGCATCTGAACTATTCATTCTACACAGACAGAAGCACACAGATATCCATCCAACCAACTTAGATATCCAATTCAATCATCCCTCATATAGAATATCTACTCTTGTATTATTTATTACTAAGGCATTTGTATGGTCTCAGGTCTACTGTTTGAAAACCAAGAGTTCAGTATTTACTACGTAATTTTTTTAAACTTCATTAAGCAAACACAAAGACTTAAAAAAACCAAAACTGAAGCTAATACAGAAGATGTGTACCAAGGCAGAAGAACTGCACATTTCGCTATACTCTGGAAGAAAGTGTACTTTACAGAATTTAATTAACAAGAAGAATGTTAATTGTTAGGCATGGTCCAACAGAATAGATTACTACTACAATAATTCAATGAATATGTTCAGATTTTTTTTTTTTCCTAAGATGTAAAGATCTCCATATATACTAAAGAATGATTTTTAGTGTAGGTACAGAACTAAACGAAATGTGAGGGAAAAAAAAAAATAAAAATTAAACAGCATTTTAACAATAAACATTAAAATGAAGGCCAGGCATGATGACTAGGTTAAACTGACATTAACCAAATCAAATCCAGCCTACAATTAGAGCTACTGATGATACAAAAATAAAAATATGCCTAAACCACAAATCCAAAAGATACTACACAAGAAATAAGATGGCAAAAAAAATACCAACCTAGGGGTTTTGGTTTTTTTAAAGGTAAATGAAAGGCAAGACTTGGAAAAAAATAGCATCACCCAAGTGACTGCACTTCAGCAATGAACAAAATAGCGTTGTAGAAGTTTCAATATGAAGTCTGTCAGTTCTATCAACTCCCCATGCCCTTGACAGTCATTTATATTAATGTCATGTGCAAATATATCCTACATCCCAGTCAGACAGGAACTCAACTGAGATGTATGAAAGTATAAGGCTAAAAAGTGTCCTTTTTACCCTAATTTTCTCTGCAATTCATTTTAGAGTTAAAAATCAGAGAGACTAGCCTTAAATCCATCACTAAGAATGCAAATGCCATAAAACTTAATACTAAAAAGGTACTATTCATTTCAATCTCTTACCTAATCTCATTCTATGGTTAGGCTAGTCAAACTGTATGTCTACACAAGATCAAATAAAATTTGAATATCAAAAGTCATTTCATACCTGAATACCTTGTGATACTGACCTATCCTAAAGAAAAATTCATTTTTATTAAACTACTTTATTCCAGTCAGGTTATTTCTTCTTTTTACATGCAAATACAAGCATACAGACTTCATTTTAAAGATGAAACAAAGGCAAAATGAGACTGCCATTTCACTTGTACAAGAAAAATTTCAGGTTTTAGCAGAACAGTAGTATAAAACACTTTAGAGCTCTTAAAACCTCACTGCTTTCATGCGTAATGAAAGCTTGGATTTGTAATTCTTGCATGCTATAAGCGCTTTCACATAGTAATTGTAAAACAAAGAGGATACTTGACAATGCACTCTTCACACTCATGCTTCAGTAGCTACACGGCAGGAATCAATAGGTTTCTGTTTTCTGATAAGTCACACGCATTTGCTTCCTTTCACTCAAGCAGTGCTTAAGAAAAGCAGCTTCTCATCTCTTCATTGTTGAATACTCAATCTGCTATAGTTATTACAGTCAAGAAATAATACACTCTTTTTATTATAAAACAACTACTGTTAGATCCTATACCTGCTCAGGTACCTGGAAATATTTAACAACCATCACATTAAAGCAGGGATAATGAAAACATTGAACTTTGATGTTTCCTATCAAGTATCCCTAACCACAAAACCACCCAAAATTCTTAAGTATGTGGTAAAGAATTCTCTCTGATAAGAATCTTAAATATATTACATTTGTAATTGCTGATAGTCTTTATACATTCTTAATAACCTAAACATATCTTGTTTCACAAAATACAATCCAAAGAGGGGACTTACTAGAATAAATTCTATTTGCATAAGTGTACTTTTTTTAATGGCAAAGTTCTTGTGAGAAGCAGAGCGGGCCAAGGAAGAAGTGTGAAGAAATAGGGAGAAAGGAAAGTATACTGCTCTGATTAAATTGCAAGTGCTATGCTCCGCCTTCTGTAGTCATGGAATTTTATTTAAAAGTGCTACCCAATGAGCATGAAAAGATATAAAGCTATGCAACTATAGATGCAAATTTTACCTCTTGTAAGTACATTGCTTCAGAAGTGCAAGTATCTTTTGTATTATGAATTTTAAGTGTTCTAGTAGTAGCTGAATTGTCTACAAAGACTACAATATGAAACGTCAATTGCTATGTGTAAATGGGTCATTCTAATCATATTTAGGTTCAGTAACTAAATTACAACAGCACACATAAAAACCGTAGTCAAATGCAGACAATTAGACTTTGAAAGCCAACAATACAATTGCAATTAACTTTTTCCTTAAAAGAAACATTTAAAATGTTGAGGTTTTTTGACAGGGAAGACAAATATAAAATGTGAAGGAGAATATGAGAAAAATATATGGTTAAATGAAGAGATTTCTGAGGTATATACTGAAAACAGAATGGATTAGAGTCAGAGGAACCAACATAAAGTGACCAAGCAGTAAGACTGCTTTACTCAGTGACTGGAGGGAGAGGAATCCAATTCAGGGCGTGGGAAAAGCAGACAGGCATCTCTGATGCTTGTCCAAGTCCTCCCCTTTCTTTACACTGCTTGTAAATGACATCCCGAAGGTGAGCATAGATGAGAAATAAGTGTATTTCCTAAAACCATCTGGTTTGCGACTTAAGGTCCTGATTCATTATGACGTTCTTACCAGAGGGAAGATTTTGGTTTCATTCAACTTTGGCTCAAAGGCTGGAGGACTAGTCCTTTTCTCTCTCATCAGTGCAGTAACAGCATTACATGTATTTTATTTTGTCTCCTGTGCCGAGCACAGCTTCTCTCACCACTCTAAGAAGGTCCTACTCTCCCTAGCCATACCTTTTACTATAATTCTTTCCTTCTGAAACTGCATCTCTCTGCTTCCTCTCTTGCACTGGTCTGGCATCTGCTGCTAATCCCTTGTCATGCCTGTTGAACCTCCTTTTGGTTTCACACTGTAATTTAAAAGGAATATACTGACATTATCTGTACTATTTCCCTGCTTCAGAAAGTAACATTTCATCTCTTAAAATGATACCTCCCAAATCCTACCATACTCCATTTGAAATGCAAATATTCTAGGAGAAACTACCAGTTATCTATTTTTAGAAAACCCCTCTGCTGCTTCTAACAAAGACTTCTAGATCTGCAGTCCCAGATTTCAATACCTCTGATACCTAAAGTGAAAGACAAAAAATAGCCATTTTAAAATTCTCTCAGAAGTAAAATCCTGAGCAATTTTGACTCTCTGAAATCTAAAAAGTGTATTTGGAGATAAAACTGTACCTTACAAATAATTAACAACTAACATCAACAGTCAGAGATCACTATGTTAGGTACTATGCACATAATTAATATGAGATAAGCTTTTATCCTAAAAGCTTGCAATTAAGCCTATCAAAAGTGACACAAAGACATGAGAAAGTGACAAGATAATAATGCATTAATTATTATTAGCATAAAGAAGAGTCATAGCATACCATTTGCCCAGTCACTGCAAAGTATTAGCACAATCAAGCACTTTAAAAAGGCATCTGAAAATGATAATATAAGTAGCTTTTCAGACTTATGTGGATCTCTCCTTTTTCACATAAAGGAGAGCTGAAGGGAGCATGAAGGCATTTCAGGGAGAACCAGAACAGACAAAAATATCTGACCACACTGGCAGGTCAAAGATCAATGAACTGAGAGCTCAAAACCCAGTAAAACAGAGTAGTTACTAGATGTAGTTCTATGAAGGAGGACTTTAGAAGGCAGTTCTCCCTTCTCAAATGTGTTTATTATTTCAATGAGACAGAATCTGACTTTGCGATCTTGCTGGATTCTGTCCAAGCTTACTGGAGATTCAAATACTCACCTCATCAGTAAGAAACTCCTTACTCAGACCAAAGTCAGTCAGCACCACGTGGCCATCAGAATCAAGGAGAATATTCTCAAGTTTTATATCCCGGTATATAATCCCCAACTGCAAACACAGAATAAGAAAAATATTTCCAAATCAATGTAACCACATCAAGGAGACACTGATGAATGTATTTAAATACAAAATGAGCAAAATTCCTTTTATTAAGGTAATCTGACACCTGAAAGTTGCACATCAAAAAGAACAATTTAAAAATGCCTTTGAAGAAATAACTTTGAGCAACTCAAAAATTTTCAGAAATTACGCTGTGCATTAAGGTCTTAAAATCCAGACATCCTTTGAATCTAAAAGTCACTGATTACTCACTGTTGAATGAAAAACTCATTCAGCTTTCATTAAGAATAAAAATAGATGCTTCTGTAATATGTTCTAGACCATACATGGATGCTTTGTAATAGCCTGCAAATCTACTTATTACCTCTGAAAACTATAACTCTTCTCATGTGTACAGTTGTGCCAAATTTTCAGGACTCTGCTGTTTAATTGTAACAAAACAAGGACAACTGAACAACAGTGCAACCCAAACACTGTTATACTGACTACAAATCAGTTCTACAGACATACACCATTTCATAAGGATTACTAAAAATTAACAATAATTTGTCAATAGCACCACTCTTCACACTGCAGAATAAAACTCATAGCCTTAATCTGGTGCACAGGAATAGACACTTCATTGGGAAGTATTTCTAATTATACAGCCAATGTCTCATTGCTAGTTGGAGTCACCCTGAATTTAAACAATCTAATTCTCCTTACTAACTTTATAGGTTGTGAAAAGAACACAGTTGCAGATCCACAAAATCAGCATGAGGATAAAGTTACTTTACCTTGTGAAGATGTTCGAGTGCTAAAACGATTTCCCCAATGTAAATTTGCACCTCATTTTCTGAGAATCTCTCTCTGTGTGAAAGGTGAGTAAACAATTCTCCTCCATTTATATAGTCTAAAAAGTAGAATAGAGAACCTTATAATTTCACTTTCTGACAACGTAACTTTCTTATTGAAATATTAATAGCTACTTTGTAAGTTACTAAATAAGATGTTCTGGGATCAGATGCTTTTACTTTATTGTAATTCAGTAATATTTCATCATGTTGTACAATACTCAATTTCCTTCTTAGAGGACTGACAGAAGAACATGACCAACTTTTAAATAAGCAGCAAAACCATAAAATGAGCCTCAAATATCCATAAATTATAAAGATTAATATTTTTTGCAAAATCAGTCTTTTAGTTATTTAGGAGTATGAAAAGAAAGGAGTACAAATGATATCTACAAACAAAATACTTCTAAACTCACGAAATACTGAAGAGCAACAAGGCAGACTGACAGAAAGAAAGGTAATTCAGAGAACAGGTATTAGATTAAATAACCAACTATGAGCAATTACAAGTTTTTCCCTTCACAAGGGGAACTTTGATGGCAAAACTTACTGGAGGAGATTATTTCCACATACATTCCCTCATGGAAACCACACTTTCATTCTTTGCAGGCTATGACACAAGCATTTTCCCACAGTCAGGGAAGGGGAAAAAAAAAGTCATTATTACAACAGAGCTCCACTGTAACACAAACACATTTTAGAGGTAGAGCTGTTTATGCTAGCAGTGTACATTAAAGCCATAAATTTACAACCCCACAGCTCCCATATCATATCAAAGGTCTGCATATACAGAACAGGGAACATGTGCCAGCACATCTTACTCAACATTTTCTTGAACATGGTTTCAATAGATTCATTTCATATAATCCATAAATCCATGGAAAAGGTCCAATCCTATTTTAAGTAAGCTAATACTTTGAAGGAGAAAGCAGATATACAAAATTATAGACGTTCTGATCTCCCTCCTCCTCTTTTTAGTTTCCCAGTTCTCTGTTTAGGAAGGAATGTTAGTTGAATGAAACAATGCGAGGAAGATTATTGTCCTGGTTTTGCTAGATAGAAATGGTACTCACATGGATACAACACTTTGTTCTTTCAATTATAGCTTAAAGTCAACCTCAAAAATAGAATCAACTCCAAACCCTGTATTCTGGAAATGTGGCAGAAAAACAGCCACACGTCTGCACTTGATCCAGACTAAATTCATATGCCTATGTAATCTGATGGCACAAATAACTGTATTAAATACTGCACTGGGGCTCCAATTCTAAAACCTCTTGGAACTAAAACAGAATCATAGAATGGTTTGGGTTGGAAAGGCCCTTAAAGATCATCTAGTCCCACCCCCCCTGCCATCAGCAGGGACCCCTTCCACTAGACCAGGTTGCTCAACGCCTCTTCCAACCTGGCCTTGAACACTTCCAGGGAGGGGACATCCACAACTACCCTGGGCAACCTGTTCCAGTGTCTGACCACCCTCACAGTGAAATATTTCTTCCTAATATCTAATCTAAACTTACCATCTTCCAGTTTGAAGCCATTACCCCTTGTTCTATCACTTCCGGCCTTTGTAAAAAGTCCCTCCCCAGCTTTCTTGTAGCCCCTTCAGGTACTGGGAGGCCGCTATAAGATCTCCCTGGAGCCTTCTCTTTTTCAGGCTGAACAGCCCCAACTCTCTCAGCCTGTCCTCATAGGAGAGGTGCTCCAGCCCTCAGATCATCCTCGTGGCCTCCTCTGGACTTGTTCTAACAGGTCCATGTCTGCCTTGTGTTGGGGGCTCCAGAACTGGACACGGTACTCCAGGTGGGGCCTTACGAGAGCGGAGTATAACATGCTGCTTATGCACCAAGTTCAGCTAGGTACAAAAACAAAGGCAGAGACTGGTTTCCCCAAAAATTCAGAAGCCTCCAGAACACATAAATTGCAAAACTAAATCACAGAAGTGATTTACAAAGATTTATGTAATGAGACATAAAAACTTGAAACAAACAGGTTTTGAGGGTTTTTTGGTCAGGGAGGGTGTGAAGCCCAGTTGAATCATAAAGTAGCTTTAGGCCAGGTGAGGTACAAGAGATATTCGCTGTTACAAAAAGTGATTAAAAGCCATTTTTACGCTCCAATTATTCCCATTTTCTGCTAAAAAAGAAGGGAAAAAGTTACCTTTCTAGCCCCAAATTATATTCTGAGAATGGATTAATGTAGAATTTCTGGGAAAGCAAAAAGCTGTTAATTATACATCAGCTTTGAATTTCTTGCTTTAAACTTCACCTTAACATTATGTTACAGTAGGCATGTGCCCAGTCGGCACTATCTGCTACATGATGTTCTTCACAACTACTAGGCTCCCTCCTTTTTGACTCTTATGAGAATACAATGTTAAGCTTTTAATTTTCCCTTCACATAAAAGCTTTTTCTGGACTTCTAGTTATCCTTGTCACTGAAATTTCGTCATTACTAGGTATTTGTATTTAGGTAACTACATCCATCTCAGCTGTGAGAGTTTTTTTGGTTTGGTTTGTTGGGATTTTTTTAGTATTTCTAAAGGAATTTAAAATGTATTGTAGTCAAAAATATCTGGATTTAAAGAATGGTACTATAATATTTATAATGCATGTTCACATTTTGTCTCATTTAATCTTTCAAGCTTTTTTCTCAAATTATTAATCAATAACTTAAAGAAAAAAAAAAGAGAAACCTTAATTATTAAAGGTTAACATCAAGGAATCACAAAGCTATCAATGTATTTATAAATTTTTTTGGTCTCTAGCATTTTCCAGCCTGTGACAATATTTTACATATTACTTTAATGTCCTAGTCAGAGGAATTTGTAAGAATCCTTACTACAATTCTCAACTCTCATTTTCAAAATGAATCTAGTGGATACTCCATTTAAGCTTCAGCTCCTCATATACCTGTATCACCTCGCTGTAGTATATGAAACTAAGGTATGCATCGAACACCTTCCTAAGAATTCAGTGGTGTAGTTTCATATAACATTAATAATTTTTTATTAATTTTATGTCTAAATCAGTTAATAAAGGTTCAACAAATCGAAGTTACGAGCTAAAAGGAGCTGCAAAACTTGTACTTCAACTAGAGGATAATTTAGTTTTTGTAGTGAATTTTCTGAAAAAGATCTTCTGCATCTAAGCATTAACTTGACCATTAATTTTCCAGTTCTTTTTAAATACTCTAAGTAAGCAGTCTTTAAAAATCGCTTGTAATTTTCTTACAAATACATCTTATACACCAAACACAAAATTTGCTGCTGATCTGAAAGGTACAAATATTTCTAATTTTAGCATGGTACCTAGCTTTATGAACAAGCTCTACTTTCAGCACAGAAATGTCTGATTTTGGATTGCCTCTTAACAACCAAAAATTAAAACATGCATGTATATCAATACTCAAAAGATCAAATGGTTCAATAACAAAAAGTTTTGGCAGAAAATGTTTCCTGAAGCAATAAGGTTTAGAGTTGATTTTAATACTCTTTTCCAGCTCCTGAAGTAAATGTTCCTTATCAGGAAAAATCCTTCATCTTCCTAAAAAAGACAGTACTCTTCAAAGGCAATGAAACTGGGGAACAAAGCAAAAGGAATATAACTCCTTAACCTTGGCATCTTTCCTCAAAACATGACTGTCCTGAAAAAGTATAGTGGTAAGGAATACATACACATGCACACAGGAAAAAGTTACATCTGAGTTGAAAACCCTACGAAAGTACCTGATCAGTCTTCTGTCAGCATTGCAAATGCTACAGAAATAGAAATGGTTCTTCACATCAAAACAGAAAGCAAAATGGCAAGGACAGAAGTGGAATGAAGAATGTTCTAATAAAGCTTGCTATACAACAGTCCGTTATCAAGCATCTCTTGTAAATGGAGACTTCCAGAAGTCACTGGTAAAACTTACCAAAATCAAGTATCATAATGCATAAAACAAGAATCTGATCCACAACACAAGTATTTTCACGGGCATTTTACAGCATGAAACCCTACCAACAACTTGGAGATTCCAGTGTTGTAAGGAACTTGCCCAGAAATAAATGAGAGCACAATCATCTTCAACTGGCATCGCCTGCATTCTGAGCGCATTTGTTCAGGAAAAAGACCTGCCCGATACGATCTTTCAGTTTGCAGCTTTTTTGTACTAAAACAGTTGGTCAACTGGTCAGCACAGTGACAGGCAGCACTGTTCTCTTAGGCAGAGGATAACATTTCACATGGAGGACAATATATAACGTTCTTAGAATGAAACATGTAGTATGTTTGAACTAAAAGGCCCTATGCTGCTTAAATATTTCCTTACTTTTTCCTTCTTTACTACCAACTAATACCAGTTACAAAGTCATATTTGGTCATCCCACCTTACCAATAACCTCCGTGCCACATATGCAAAGGCAGCATGCAGAGAAAATAAACTGAATCATTTTAATGCCCACATTCATACAGATTAAAAACTTTTTCGTTCATGGTGCAGTTTGTCTGAAAATCTGCAGAAAACTAATGCAGTATATAATATCAGGTAAACACGTGCAAATCAAAATTTCATCTTCTAAGTAAGTTCAAGAAAATATTTATCTGGTTTAGGTATTTATGGTCATATACATTTTTTGCTGCATATAAGTCACTGATAATACTTCTCCCCACCTGCCGCCCCCCTAAATCAGTGTAGCACACTGAAGTTCAAGCAGGAAAACCACAAACACAGACACTGTTGAAGATGAACAGTATTTTACTTCCTATGGTCTCTCATGCAATCTCCAGACACATAGTACTTAAGACCACATAAAAAAAAAATCTACAAAACATTAAGGAGATAAAAGGGCAGATTTTTTAATTTTTATTTTTTTAATTAACATAAGACTTGAATCCTGAAAACTACTCACCTAAAATGAGATGAAGCTTTGTATCTGTCTGGAAGGCATAATGTAACGTGACCAAAAACGGTGATTGCCTAATGTGCTCCAGCACTTGCCGTTCTGTCCTTGTATGCTCTGTTGTTTTGGCTTTTTGAACTATTGTTGCTTTCTTCAGTACTTTCATGGCATACAGCTTTCCAGCATCATGGCCACTTACTTTCCTTACTAGGAACACTTTTCCATAGGCTTGAAAAACAAAAAGCGGGGAGGAAAACAAACCAAACAAGTCACCTACTTATACAGGTCTGGCTGATATTATTACTTTCAATTAGTCATTACTAAGGCAAACAGCAACCATTCAGGCTAAAAATCTTCCAGAACACTTTTTTTTTTGTTTCAGACTGATCTTTTCTGAGCATAATTTCAACCAAACGAGCTTAGTGACTGAATACAGCAAGAGTGGGAAAAATAATCAGAGTTTCAGTATTTAAAAAAAAATTTAAAAGCTGATGATTTCTTCCTTTGTAATAACCTAAAACCCCCATACCTAGAACTTAGCAAGAGTTTGGAGTAAGAGAGATGCTATTTTTTTGATCTTCAAAATAGTCTACCCATATTTGCACAACTTACATGCTTTACAGCACTGAAGTTTCAAAAACACACAGAAAAGCCAATGAATTCTTCCCATCAGTATTTAGGACACAGAAATTTTCTGAAGCTCCCATATTGGACTTAAATGAGAATCAACTACAGGAATTAATCTCAAAAAGAAAATTTTCTGAACACAAACAGTAAAAGAAATCGTCACCAGGATAAAAAGGTATTCTTTCCAGAGTTTTTAAGTATTGAATCTAGGTGTTCCGTTTAGGTATTTGGTTAAAAAATACACTCCATATTGGACTAATAAGTGGCAAATGTGAACATCCTCACATCCTTCTTCCTCCAACCCACCACCCCTCGCTTTTTTGTTTTGCTTTTCAAAAAAA